GGGGGGTCGCGAAGAGAAGAATTAGTAACTTAATTGGTAGAGGACTTCCCTGTCACGGAAGTAGGTGCCGGTTCGATGCCGGTCTAGTTCGCATTCGCTACCCTCCGTCCCCCCGCCCTGCAGTACTGCAGGGGGGTGAAAAGGAGGGAATTTAAGGAAAAGTTGCCATTGGTAAGGCGAGATATTTGCTAAATATTGTGTTTTTTACACCTGGGTGTTCGAGTCACCTCTTTTCCGTTGTATCCATTTATATTTCTTTATCGTTTAAATAAATATAATGGCTTCTCTTCCTAGCGAAGCTAGGCAGGAAGCCAGCCCCCCCCTGCTTACCTCTAAATAAATATATATCTTCATCTTCGGTTAAAAGAGTATAGTTTAATGGTAAAACAGAAAGCTTCAACCTTTAAGTTCTTAGTTCGAGTCTAAGTACTCTTGCATCGAGTCCTCCCCCTTGAATACTTGTTATGGGGACCTTGAGCCGGGCGAGCGTTANGNCCCCNNCCTTAGTAATGCGGCGCGGTGGGTCCCCCGCCCTGCAGTACTGCAGGGGCATAATTAAATGTGATGGGGACCTTGAGAAGAGGGGGGGGTCAGCCCCTGAATAAAAAAAGGTGAGGAGGAGGGGGGACTACGGCTTCACCCTTACTATGCTGACCCCTCCTACGGGGGGCGGGGGTAAGGGTGACCAAAAATTAAGGGTTTTTTATTTATGATAAACGAAAGTTTCACAAATGGTTATATATCTAATATATTAGATATAATATCTATACTCGCGATTTTTTGTGGTATATCTGTAATTGTAAATAAAAATCCTATAATATCTGTATTATTTTTAATAGGGTTATTTGCTAGTGTTTCTTCTTATTTAATTCTATTAGGTTTAAGTTTTATAGGTTTAGCCTATTTAATAGTATATATAGGAGCAATATCTATTTTATTTTTATTTATTTTAATGCTGATAAATATTAGAATAAGTGAACTTCAAAGTAATACTAATAATAGTATACCTTTAACAATTATTCTTGGAATTTCTCTTAGTTATTCTTTATTTCAATTGTTACCTTATGATATAGCTATTTTAAGTAATTTTAGTAGTAATATAAATAATAATTTATATAATCTTTCTATGAATAAACAAAATAACGGAAATTTGGAATTAATACCACTCCCGCAGTTTCACTGCAGCCTAAAAAATAATGACTTATTATTTGTTACTAGTAAAATATGAGATGGAAATTTGGCAGAAAGTAATCATATAACAACTATAGGTAACGTAATGTATAGTAACTATAGTATCTGATTGTTCTTAGCTAGCTTTATTTTACTATTAGCTATGGTTGGATCTATAGTGATTATAATGAAATCTAATGCTTCTTGAGGCGGAGCCTTACCTAATACGAGGGAAACCAAAACCGAGGGGAGGTAGAATGAAAAATACTAAATCGGAGGATATATAACCACCGGAGCTTTAGCTTCTGGCTGCTTGCTTTAGCTAAAGCAAGCTACTAGTACTGAGGAGGCTAGCTTCGCCAGCCCCCCAATAGTAAGGCAAAGCCAGATATGACTGGTTGAAGAACTATTAGAAATGAAATGTTAGAGAAGAATAAAAAAGGACGAGGACAACTTCGTTTAGCTGTAACTATCAAAAATATATTGATCCCAGCAGCACAACTTCGTTTAGCTAGCTAACTAAAAACCATATAAAAACTTACAAATATCTCTCGTAGAATCGACCCGTCCCCCCGCCCTGCAGTACTGCAGGGGGGAAGGGTTGATTCAAGGGCCGAAGGGGCCTCGAATCGGGGGACCCCACGAATACTTATTCGTGGGCCCTCTTAGTTTAGCTCGTATTTTAAGTCATGGCTCTTGGTTTTCCTTTTTAGCTTTTAAATAAAATTTAGCCTTGTTCATAAGTAGCCAAATAATGACGCTTCTGAGCCGGAGGCTATCAAAAATTAAATTTAAGAGAGATTAGCTCAGTTGGTAGAGCAACCGTTTTACACACGGAAGGTTGGGTGTTCGAATCACCCATTTCTCATTTTTTAATACTTACTTTAGGATTCTTTAACTTAACTGGTAAAGTGCATTATTGATAATAATGATATTCAAGTTCGAGTCTTGAAAGAATTAAAGAGAATTGACCGAGTGGTTTAAGGTGGCTAGCTTGAAACTAGTTATGGTTCAAACCATCATGGGTTCGAATCCCATATTCTCTGTTAATTAACTAAGGTTTGGTGATTCAAATTAGCCTCCTCCTACAGCCTCCTGTAGCTTCGGGGGACCCCCCCCCCTTCCCCCCCCTGCAGTACTGCAGGCCCCCGCCCTGCAGTACTGCAGGGGGCGGGGGGAGGGGGGGGGCGGCCAAGCATTAAAAATAATGCAAGCGTGCTAGCTTGCATGCTAAAAATTTAGCATGCAAAGCAGCCAGCCAGCCTTAATAATTTAGCCATAATACCAAGGTCCCCATCTTTCCCCCGCCCTGCAGTACTGCAGGGCGGGGGGGGGGGGGGACGGCTAAAAAAAAAATTCAGCCCAGCCAGCCAGCCAGCCAGCTTATTTTTTAGCTTCCCCCTGCAGTACTGCAGGGGGGTGAAAAGGAGGGGAATTTAAGGAAAAGTTGCCATTGGTAAGGCGAGATATTTGCTAAATATTGTGTTTTTACACCTGGGTGTTCGAGTCACCTCTTTTCCGTTGTATCCATTTATATTTCTTTATCGTTTAAATAAATATAATGGCTTCTCTTCCTAGCGAAGCTAGGCAGGAAGCCAGCCCCCCCCCCTGCCCAGTACTGCAGGCGGGGGCTGGGCTAAAAAAAAATCAAAGCCCAGCCAGCCAGCCAGCCAGCCAGCTTATTTTTTTTTAGCTTCCCCCTGCAGTACTGCAGGGGGGGACGGCTAAAAAAAATTAAGCCAGCCTCAGTGCCTAAAAAAAATGCATAGCCGGCTAAAAAAATAATTACGGATTAGAGTCAGATTGGTTACGACACTCCCTTTGGGAGGGAGATTTTCTGTGTTCGAGTCACAGTAATCCGACGAATTGGTTTACGTTACCCCCCCTCCTCCACCCCTCCCCCCTGCAGTACTGCAGGGCGGGGGGGGGACGTGGAGGAGGGGGTAGCCGAATCAATTCCTTCTATAATGAAGAAGTATTAGAAATGTAATGGATATAAAGCTTATGTTTATATATATAGACTATATATAAGTATATAAAGAGACTACTACCAATAGCTACACTATGTATTAAGGAGAGTAAACTTAATTTATGTTTATGATTTTATCCATACCTAAACTGACCCCAGGAGCAATGGGTCGGGTTAGCATCCTGGTTCGTACAGTTACGTACACCTTGGTGTGACCTAGGCTAGTACTAGGTCCCCGTCTAAGGGACTTGCGTCGGTCCTTCCTAGGGCCGAGGTGTATAAATACTTACGGACGGCCTGGAACCCGGTCGTGTGAATTGATCAACATATGAACTCTTAGAGAAATTACTTAATAAACGAAGTGAATTGAAATATCTTATTAACTTCAGGAAAAGAAATCAAACGAGATTCTATGATTAGTGTGAACGAAAATAGAGCAGCCTATTAAAATAAGTAAAATGGCTTTAAAGCTGTTTGAATATTGTGGGGAACCTTCCTCAAAGGCTAAATATAATACATGAGTTACAGAGAAAAGTACCGTGAGGGAAAGCTTTGAAATAGTAGTTTTATAAGCAGCTCAAGCAATAAGAAAGCGAGAGCGTACCTTTTGCATAATGGGTCACCAAGTTAATTTTAGATGCGAGCGAATTTATTTATGTTTTTACTGATTAAACAATATAATGAATCATAATTATTTTTGTAACGAGTATTAGTATTAAATCGGGTGACCCCGGGCCCCCTTCGGGGGCCGGGGGCCCTAATTTAATATTAGTATAAGTTTTCAGTATGGCGGCTACATAGCATAATCTATGCAGCCAGCCAATAATTGGATTTCCAATCCAATTTCGGTAATAAATAGATGTGCATAGTTAAACCGATCATTAAAATAATGAATAGTGTCTAAAGTTAGACCCGAAGCCCTGGTGATCTTACTATAGTCAGGACTATAAAGGTCCGAACGGGTTATCGTTGCAAAGATATCCGAAGAACTATGGTAAGCGAGTGAAAGACAACACTGACTAGGATAGCTGGTTTTCTGCGAAACCTATAATAGTAGGCAATTTAAGTAACATCTTAGTAGGTACAGAACTTAATCTCAGACAAGATGTAGATTTTCATACCTATGTTTAGGTATGAAATGCATTTTTTTTTGTATACATCGGGGGATCGTGAAGATTTTATCGGTGAGTATGTAGACTCGGAATGACAAAGATGAATCTTGAATAATCAGACATAGAATGATAAGGTTGTATGTCAAAAGGGAAACAGCCCAGAACAAGAGTTAAGGTTCCAAAATTATTATTAAGTGAAATAAAGAAAGTTTTTATATAAGTCGACAAGAAGATGGGCTTGGAAGCAGCCATAATTTAAAGATCTCGTAACAGAGCACTTGTTAAAATCTTAAAAAGCATCGAAAATTTAACGGATCTAAATAATATACCGAAACCTTGTCCATATGTAACATTAGTAATAATATGCTATTAATGTTATTTGATGGGGTTTGATGGGGTAGCAGAACGTTGAGTGAATCTTAGATTTTTTTTTTATAACTAAATATAGATGATAACTCAAGTGAGAATGGTGACATGAGTAACAAAAAAGAGTTTAAGGTACCTAAAAGGTATCTTAGAGTCTCGCCTAAAGCTTATGGCTACGTCAAGTAACGGCCTCTAAGTTTATAATCTGAAGATTATGACGATGAGAAAATAACGCGCAGAAGTGCGCTGCTTTGATACTTAGGTACCAACATTTCAAAGTGAAAATTGTGCAGGAAGGATCAGTATCCTTTCATTCTTATGTGGGGGGGTGGACAAACTGAACAGAGGTTTTTGAACAGATGAGTCCACACCCCCCCCCATGTAATGAATGCGTACCTAGAATCTGAAACAAGTAAGCTAGTAGAGAATACGAAGGCGTGAATGAGATAACAATCATAAAGGAACTCGGCAAACTAACTACCGTAACTTAGGGATAAGGAGAGCTCATTAGTCTCGATTAATACGAGTAAAAAGGAAGAAGCATGGAATATTGTTGTACGACTGTTTAATTAAAACAAAGCACTTTGCAAAAAGACGATAAGTCTAAGTATTGAGTGTGATTTCTGCCCGATGCCGGCTGGTTAACGAATTTTCTAAATTGAAAAAAAATTTGGTTTCAGAGGAACCCCCGGTTAATGGCGGCCTTAGCGTGAGGGTCCTAAGGTAGCGAAATGCCTTGGCCGTTAAATGCGGTCTTGCATGAATGATGTAACGATACAACAGCTGTCTCTATGATTGACTCAGTGAAATTGGAATAACTGTGCAGATACAGTTTACCTCTAGTTAGACGAGAAGACCCTATGCAGCTTTACTGTTACTAATTATTGAATACGATTCTGAAAATTTCCAGTGTAAAAGGTAATCGATAAGATATAATTGAAACACCTTTATTTTTCTATCGTATTATTAAACCTTAAATTAAGGAACAATTGTTAGAAGACAGTTTATGCGGGGCACAGGCCCCATAAAGAGTAAATGGGTGTGTCTAAAATTTATAAATTTATGTTTGCAATTTTTTATAGTGATTATATATCAAATCATCTTTATGCTATTCATAGAGTGTATTTATTATATTCCTTGGGTACAGTATAAAAATTATATATGTATTAATTTACATATATTTTTTCTAAGAAATTAGGTAAGATTTTGTTTATAGAGAAATTAGAATGTAAAAAAAAAAATCTTATGAGGGCGGTATTTAATAATCCGCTTCTAATATTTTTTTGTAGTTATTATTATAAATTTAATAATAATCATGTTTATTACTTAAAAAGCTTAATGGCTTAATCTTGCCTTACTGTTTGATTAACAACAAATCTTACAGTCGCGTAAGCGGGGCATAGGATCACAAGATACAAAAAGGAAAGATCTTGGATTTTTGGAAAAGCTACGCTAGGGATGTTTGTCCTTCAATATTCTATTTAAGGGTGCTCCAAATGAGGCCTAAGGGTGAAGCCTCAGCAAGCTCCACCCCTTCGCAATGTAGCCTTAATAATTTAGGCTCCTGCAGTCCTTTTTTTTCCCCCGCAAGCTTGCGGGTAGCCTCCGGCTAAGCGAAGCTCGGCCCTACCACTTCCCCCCTGCAGTACTGCAGGGAGGGGGAGGTTAGGAGCTAAAAAAAAAATTACAGGACGCACATATTTATTTAGCTATAAACATTGCCATCCTTAAATAAAATTATTGATAATATATTGGGTTAATTTCAAAAATTACTTTTATAATTTAAGTAAATTTGAAGCGAAATTTATCTTAGCATAAGGTGGGTGCTAGCACACAGTGTAGCTCGCTAGTGGCTAGTGGCTAGTGGCTAGTGCCTACTAAAAAGATAAAATCGTTCAACGACTATAAGGTGAGTAATGCTAACAATAATCCTTTATTAACACCCAACTTTCTTTTTTTTATTATGTATAAAATATATAAATCAGCAAGTAGTAAAATAATTTAAGATGAATAATACTAACACTAACACTAATAATAAAAATTTAGCCTCCTCTTCCGCTAGTGTAATTTTTAGTAAATATATAAATAATAATAATAATAAATTAATACCTTTTAAGATAAAAAATTCTGACATAGGAAGAACGAGATATTTCCCTCCTATATCTAAAGAATGAAAAAATAGTAATTTTTGTCTTTAATCATAATAACTTAAAAAATTTACCTCTTTTTGATATAAATATTAATTCCTTAATAAAAGATTATTTTAATTTACAATTTAAGGATAAAATTTTATTCAAAAAAAAGATACTTTCTAAAGTTCAAGTTGTATCTCTGAATAAAATATATGCTAGTAAAGCGGAAATAAAGCATACTAATACTAAAGCTATTTTAACTGTGTATACTTTTTAATCGAGAAAAGATATCTTTATATAAAAAAATCAAGAAATTAAAAAAATCTTTTTATTTTGTTTTTGATAAAATAATTTCTTTTAGTGAACGTGTAATATTGAGTGGTGTTCCTATAAGGGTAGATAAGGATGGTAAGGTATTATCAAATCTGTATTTACCTTTTAGATTACGTGGTGTATTACCTTGAATTACTAAATCTCATGTGAATATTTGAAGAAAAATAATTATAGCTTCCCTATATAAAGAATTAATACTTCTTAAGAAAATACAAATTAAGATTAGATCTTAATAAGTATAAATTTGAAGAAAAAACTTTTATATAGATTAAATAATTTAATAATGAAGTATTATAATAAAAAAAGTAGAGTTTAAATATTGTAAATATGAGATCTTTTCTTCTTAATAGTGATATATTGACTAAAATATTAGCACTTAAATTGAAAAACAGGAATGCCCGTGTAATGAAAATTATGGATGTTATATTAAATAAGGCAAATTTACCTAAAATAAATAGAGTTCAGGAAAAAGCTTCCTTAATAAAAAGTGTAGATTTAAATTTATTAGAAAATAAGTTTAAAAAATCTCAATTTAAGTTTTATATTAAATGATGCTTCGTACGCGGAGCGTAATAATTTATCTGAATTGTTAAATAAATTATATTATAATGTTCTTTTAGTCAGCCAAAAAGGGGTATGAGCGCTTCGCTCCCCGAAGGGGGAGCAGCCTTCCTTCCACTCAAAGAGTGGAGGCTCGCCTACTAAATTTATTCAGAAAGGCGCAGGCGCAGCTTCGCTAGGAGGAAATGCTAAGGCGCAGCCTAAAGTTTCTAGCTTCGCTAAGGCCAAAAAAATATGCAAAAATATATCAAATCATATTTAATTCTATAAATTATAAAAATATGGGTGGTCTAAGACTGGAAATTAAAGGTAGATTAACTAAACGTTATAGAGCTGATAGATCTTTATTTAAAGTAAAATGAAAAGGTGGATTAAAAAATCTAGATTCGTCATATAAAGGGTTATCATCTGTAAATATGAGAGGTTATGCTAAACCTAATGTAGAGTATTCAATATTTACAACTAAACGTCGTATTGGAGCTTTTGCAGTAAAAGGTTGAGTTAGCGGTAAATAGAAATCCCGTATCCCCCCGTCCCCCCGCCCTGCAGTACTGCAGGGGGGGAGGGGGGATTAGGAAGTGCCACTTCGTTGAGGGGTAGGTTGTTTATATTACATTAAGATTAACTAATAAAAAATACATATAAAAAAGAAATGAAGAAATAGTCTGAACCATTATGTGAATGATGGAAATAAATCAATATGATAACAAGTTGAACAGGCTAATTTGCGCAAGAGTGTACAAAATGAGTGCGCGGTTTGGCACCTCGATGTCGGCTTGACTAATCCTCATGGATGCAGAAACTATGTAGGGTACGACTGTTCGTCGATTAAAAAGTTACATGAGCTGGGTTAAATACGTCGTGAGACAGTATGGTTTCTATCTTCTAGAGGGAATTAGAATATAATAAGGATTAACCTTTGTACGAAAGGAACATGGGGTACTATTGTTATACCTAGTTGTATAACAGTTTTATTAACCTCTGGTTTACCTGTTGTTTATGTGCCTGATATTAATTTCATGTGTGATGCTCCGCAAGGATATTACAGGGATGTTACCGTCACTTGAGTAAATACAATAGCATAAGCATGGCAGGAAAGCTAAGGTTAGTCAAAAATAAGTGCTGAAAGCATATAGGCACGAAATTTACCTTAAGATATTTCTTAAATATACGTAAGAAAATATTACGTTAATAGGCTTAGTTTGTAATAATCTAGAGATTTTAAGGAACTAAGTACTAATTTTATAAAAAAACTGAATGATTAATATATCTTACATTTTCGCTACCCCCTCCTTTGCTCAAGGTCCCCATCACATTTAATTATGCGAAAAATGGGGGGGCCGCAAAAGGAGGGGGGGGTAATGAGCCTGGTTAGCATAAAAGTAATGCAATTGTTTTGTAATCAATAGAAGCAAGTGCGATACTTGCACTGGGCTATTTTAAGGATTAGTGGTCAAGTGGTACGACATAGCTCTTTCAATGCTAAAATCGCGGGTTCGAATCCCGCCTAGTCTAAATACGTAAATACATATATATATATAGAGCCGCAAGGCGTCTATTTATATGTATGAGAGTTATATTTATATGTATGAGAGGCTATAGCTCAATTGGTAGAGCATACCGCTCATAACGGTAATTGTAAGTGTTCAAGTCACTTTAGCCTTATTTCGGTTTATTACCTTCCGCTTTTGCCCGTATCCCTAATCCCCCCCCCCGTCCCCCCGCCCTGCAGTACTGCAGGGGGCCGAAGGGGGGGGGAAACGGAGGAGGGGGCCCACGAATAAGTATTCGTGGGGTCCCTCGAAGCTAGGGCTAAAATAAAGTAATAAATAGGGGGTACCCTATTTAAGGTCTCCCCCCTCCTCTTCCCCCTCCTCTTCCCCCTCCCTTGCGGAGCAAAGGAGGGGGTTGCGAAGATATATTTTTAAGAATATTTTTTTTCTTAACTTGCACAAGGTGGTGACACTGGATTAAATTCCCCCTCCTTTGCGGAGCAAAGGAGGGGGGGGGGTTGAGAAGTAATGAGACGCCTTCCGGCTCTACTTTTCAGACGCCTCGCGGCTCTAAATCATAATGATTCAGATTTTTATAAATTTATTAGTGATATAGCAAATACTACTAAATAAATAAATATGTGCGAGCTACATGCTAGCTAGCTGCTAACGAAGTAAGCCATATTTATTTTAAGGCAGCCGCAATGCTATGTTTAGCTTCGCAGAGGTAATCATGCGGATTGGTGTAATAGTAACATACTTGGCTCATGTCCGACAGATATAGGTGCAAATCCTGTGTCCGCATTAGTGTTTTAGCGCTACCCCAAAGTTAACAAAATTTTTTATAGTCAGTAAGTTAGTCTATTTGTATTTATTTTAATCGCTACCCCCTCCTCGCGTACCCCCTCCTTTGCTCAAGGTCCCCATCACATTTAATTATGTCCCCCCCTGCAGTACTGCAGGGGACGGGGGGAAAAGATGGGGGGGCCCGCCAAGGGAGGGGGGGGGGGAGGAGGGGCTGCTTGGTGCGAAACTAGCTAAATAAGCAGCCGTGAATATAAATTGTTAACTTAAATCCGAGTGATGGAATGGTAGACATAACATGCTTAAAACATGTGGGCTTCAAGCTGTGAAGGTTCAAGTCCTTCTTCGGATAAATGCACACACTTTTTTATTAATATATGTATAAATATAAAGATGAATACTATGATGGGGCGGCTACATTGCTGCCCGCTAGCTAGCCAGCTTATTTTTTAGCCGTCCCCCCGCCCTGCAGTACTGCAGGGGGGGAAGCTAAAAAAATTAACTCCCCCCTCCTCTTCCTCCTCCCCCTCCCCTTCCCCACCCCCCCTGCAGTACTGCAGGGTGGGGACCCTGCAGTACTGCAGGGGCAGGTTTGCGGGGGGTGCGGAGCAAAGGAGGGGGGTTGCGAAGGGAGGGAAACGGAAGCAGCCATATTTATTATGGCGCACTCAATTAATAAGGGGGTATAGTATAATTGGTAGTACAGCAATCTTGCTCATTGCTTGTCAAGGTTCAAATCCTTGTATCTCCATCTCCCCCCTCCTTTGCCCCCTCCCCTTCCACCCCCCCTCCGCCACGTACCTGCAGG